TCTTTGGGGATGGTGTGTGCACAATTAATTGGAGTTTGGTTCACTATGGAGCTGCGGAGAGACCTATCCTGGTTTTAAGGCAAATTTCAGTGATGAAATTTGCCCTATGGAGTGGCTGAGAGCAAATAGGATTGAATTTAAGAAGGTTTTGAGAAGCTCTGTTGAGATTTTGACAGAGTTTCCCCAAGGCTTCAAGCACTCTGCCCTTTGCCTGTGGAGGACTTCATTTATAGCTATGGTTGCCTGGTGGAGCTCAGGGAGTTTGATGGGTGAAAAAGCTTGTTTAGGTGGGGGGGAAGAAAGGCTCTAGTGTTCAATAGGACTTAGCCAACTCAGAGAGGATCAATTGTGGCTCCCTTTGGCTGGCTATTTACGGCAACTGAGGTGGTGCTTGGTCAGAATTAAGCCACTTTTAGGCTCATGGAGGCCAGAGGGTGGCTAATGACGGTTAACTCTTGATGGTAAGTGATGATAGTTTAGGCCAAAAATGGGGTGAAATCCCCTAAATCAAGGGACCATTGGTCCATAGCTCATGTAGGGTTGGCTTTGACAAGGTAGGTCTAGCCTAGTCACTAGAGTCCAAATGGTGGTTGTAGTGGCTTTGTCTTGATCAATTTGGCTTGGCTTGGTCAACTTTGGTGCATGGGTTCAATTTTGGGCAGTTTGGCTTGAAGTTGGGTTTGGATTAGGCTATCCATGACATTGGACTCAATTGATTGATCAAAATAGTGTAGATGATTATTACAAGGAGTTTAGAAAAGATTTTGAATGATTTTAAATTGATTTGGAGGTTCAATTTGAAGGAAGTTGGACATTTGGTCAATTTTGGGGATGTTGAGTTAGACTTAAGTTTGAGTTCGGCTAGAGTTTTGCTAAGACCCAATTGATTAATATGATGTGTTCAAATTTGTCTAAGGGTTTGGTAATGAAGAGTTTTGGATAGAAATTGAGTGGAAATTTTGGGGTTATGAGGTTCAATTTGGTTGAAATTGTGGATATGGCTAATTTGGGAATAAATTGGGGGTTTTGGTCCAAGTAAAATTTGAATGAAATTGAGGCTAGACCAAGGACAATTGAAGGTTTAATTTGATGTAAGGAAATGTTTTAAAGAGTTTATGATGCAAAATTGAGGCAATTACATAGATTTGGGGGTTTAATTGCGAGAGATTTTGGTTTTGGGTCAAATTGGGGCTTTTTTATTTAGGTTGAATTTGGACTCAAATGTGGGTCAATTGGACTTGGAGTTGGTTTCAATCAAGCTTTTACATGATGAATATGAGTTCATAATTGAAATTGGAGAATATTGGGGTCAAATTGGTGGACATTTGGGGTGAATTGAGGTAATTGGGCCTTTAAAGGCAATTTGGGGCTTTTGGTCAAAATAGGTCAAATGGAGCTCAATGGAGTGGTTCAAATTGATTTTGGGGACATTTGAAATGACTTTGAAGGTTTTGGGATAATTTGGGTCAACAAGGGTATTTTGGTAATTTTGGCCAAATGAGGGGATATTTTGGTAATTTTGAAGATTTTGGAATGTTTTTGTCAATTTAGGTAGTTTCAAATGGTTTGAAATGATTTTTGAACAAATTTGGGTTGAACAAATTTGGGTATTTTGGGTAGGGTAGTTTGGTAATTTAAGTAGATTTAGGGGCAAAATGCTAAGTTAAGTATTTTGGTAAAATTGGAGTGTCAATCACCCTACTTGAGCCATGAACCAATAGAATTCCCTATATTGGGTCCTTCATGTACTGGTCCTAGCTAAACCTTTGCCTAGGGCTAGTGGGTCTAGGGGACCATCTACATGAGTCTCCCAAAGGGTTAGGGGATCAAAGTTAAGCATGTTTGGGCTTAGGGTAGTGAGTAGAAGTGCAATGTGCAAGTATGTGTGTGAGACCAACCAAGACCACACCACCAGAGGGTTAATCCTAAGGCCAAGCAATCCTACGGGCACTCTCCTTGAGCTCTCCCATATTGACCCCACCTACTAAGTGCTAGAGGTTAGGACCAATATGTGGAACTTTAAGTTGAGCAAAGAAGAGTTTAGAATTTCTAATGGTGAGGGTTCCTTTTCTATTCCTCTAGGAATAGTCAACAGGAAATTCCTATAGCTAGACCATAGGCTACTAAAGAGGAAAGACTAGACCTCAACCAAAAGTGAGGTCAATAGACTTCCCGTTCTTCAGTCCCCCGCACCACTCAGTAAACTTCCTCACAACCATCTAACCCAAAGCCAACTTCTGCACTTCCTCTCTCCTTGAGGTTGATTGATCCATCCCTTGTTAACTTGTTTGAAAGAACCAAGGCCACTAGCACCAAGCTCACACCCATCTCTAGTTCGACCCCAGACCAGGATATAGAGGCAACCTCTGGCTATGATCCCCCTCCGTCTCTAAAAAGGGGATTTTTGCATCAATCAAGAAAAGAAAATGATCGAGGAGTTGGATCTCCCTCCCCCTCCTACGTTGAAGAGAAGAAGAGAATCCTTTGAATGACTTCAAGCGAAGGGGGCAAGGGGCAGATTATAGATCAGCTTTGATGAACGATTTAGTTTGGTGGATACCTCGATGGACTGATATCCTAATTCTGATGAGATAGTTTGAATCCCGCTAGTTTTAGTGGAGCTGACTTGGCCAAAGAATCTTGACCAACTCTGAGGAAGCTAAGTCACCAAGAGATCCTCTAGCACATAACTCGATTTAATTTTATGGTAGCTGAGGCTGCCTACTTTTAAGCGTTGGCAGTGAAAAATTCAAAGAAATGTTTATTGGAGGCTCGTAATATAGTCACCTCGTTGGATGGTGATCTTTATAGAGCTCGAGTAGACAATGATCTTCTCCAGCTTAAATTTGATTACTCGACTGTAGAATTAAGGCGGTCGAATGAGATGTTGGTTACTTTAATGGAGGAACACAAGAAATTGGAGGAGTAGGTTTCCTCATCAATTTTAAATGAAGAGCACATGATCGAGTTGGTGAAACAATGCAAAGTAGGCATTGACTATGTGACGAGTGATTTATACATCATGGTTTGATTGACATCAAGTTTTCTCAGTTGGAGGAGTTCACAGCTCTCTTTCAGGAGAATGTCTAGGATTCCTTAGAATAAGTCGAGGAGGTAGAGTAGAGTGCTAGCGGTGAAGATCGCTTGACCAGCCACTGATCCTGAACTTTGAAAAAGTTTAAACTTTTTTCTTTTTGGGTCAGTCGAAAGAAAAGAATCAAACTTACAAACACTTTTGTATATTTAGGAAAAAGTATTTTGTTTGATTTTGTTCTATTTGCTTTGTAAAATTTGTGAAAGAACTGTGGCTATCAGTTTTTGTTCAACTTGAAAGTGAGTCGGTCATTTTAGTTTGATCGATAGACACATCTTGTTCAAACTGTTCAGTTGGGTTGCACCCTTAGAGAGACTCACATCTGGGGTGATTTTTATGAAATACTGTAGATCTTGTCATTGGTATATATCAAATCACCTTCAGAGCTAAATTTTGAACTTAAAATGTTATATCTCTTTATGTTGACTAACCATTAACTTTGAAAGATGGATCAATTTAAATTATCAATTAATAATAGAATTCATAATTTTCATGTGGAAAAACCAATAAAATCAATCAATTGTGAGAGAACTTGGCCTTTCTTTGATCGACTACTATACACCGATCGTTCAATTTACACTAACACATATTATCACTGATCCCCATCGCATCCGATCTATTGGGTCTTTGCTTCGATCAGGTCTACTCACACTAAGCATGGATCTTCTCGTTGATTGTGAGGGTAACCTCTGAGACGTGTTTCCAAGATGGTTTACACTATACTCTTTTGTGGATGTTATTGTCATTGACCAGAGAAACATCTCCAAAGTTAGAGTTGAGACATGCTGAAGCCTAGATTGCTTTTGAGATCACGCCCCGAAAGTTAGAGATGAGAGAAGAGAAGTGAGAGGGAGAGGGAGGCCAGGAATCTCAAGGAATCCTCAGATGTCAGAATTCGTAGGTGTAAAGATTCCAAAGTGAACGAATCAAAACGTCCCTTTATTGATGTCATGACCTCTTATTTATAGAGACCTTTGAATACAATTTCATATAAGGAAAGAGCAGTTTCTATAACTGTCTAAATGAGTGTATAAAGATTGCATAGTAATGAAAGTAAAAGCTAACATCTGGTTGGTCTTCTAAAGCCTTAGGGTCGATCGACGTTGATGTGCGCGTCGGTCAGTTGTGATGGATCTTCTTGAAGTGATCAAGTTGCTAGACCAAGAAGTGGGTACTCGATCACGGTCATTTGATCGCCAACTTTGTTGCTTGGAATATTTCATTAACGGAAAACTTCGTCGGTCGGAGTACTATTTTGGTTGAATAAGCTACAAAGTAGATTGATTACTTGCTTGAAGATTTTCTATCACTCGTTCATAGTTTATTTGTACAATCTGATTTCTGGCTGTTCAATCTCCTCGGGATTCCTACTGCTATTTTCATAGTAGAGATGTTTATTTCTCTCTTTTTATCTCTCTCCTCTTATTTACACCCTATTTTTTTTTTTTGCGTGATGTATAGACAAATTTAAATTCAGCCTACTGCTATTTTCATAGTAGAGATGTTTATTTCTTTTTATCTCTCTCCTCTTATTTACCCTTTTTTTTTTTGGGGTGATGTATAGACAAATTTAAATTCAGTAATAATAATAAAAGAAAAAAAGTTATACAGATTATAATAAAGATCTTTTCGAATGTCTTCGTGATGTTTTTAAAAATAATTGGACCTTACTTTCAACCAATCTTATGTCGCTATATTTCTCTCCCTTCCAATTATATTTATGTATATCTATATATCCATATATATTTGTTTTTGATTTCACAAGAACTCCCAACACTACCCAACACTGCTACAAACTTTCTGCAAGATGGCCCAGCCAACAGGTTCCGCGTGTCAATGCGTTCCCCATGAAGCTACATGATCGACACTTGCCCGCATTTGACACTTCATAATCTTTAAACTAAATAAAAACGTCCGCAAATGTAATCCCGGTTCCACTTCTCCGCGCCAAAATGTCATCCAGAATCCAATCCCTAGCTTTATTTCCCATTTGATCCTCTTCGATCAACTCATACAGTTGAAGGAAGAGCGAAGAGCTTGCTTCGCTCGTATGGCCATGGTTTTATCGCTCTCTAACGTCGCCGACTATCCCCACGTTGTGTCCATCTCGATATTTACAGCCGTGCTCTGCTTCTGCATTGTAGTTGGCCACGTACTAGTCAATTCTCGATGGACCAACGAGTTCGCTGTTGCCATTTTCATCGTAATCCCCCAGTCATATTTATATTTTTATTTTTTTCAGTTTTGCATGGCAGCTCTGTAGGGCTGTTTCTTGTGTAATCCATTCAATTAATTTTTTTTTTTTTCAGTCAGTTCTCTTACGTCCTAAGATGAAATTAGGTTTTTCAGTTTTGCATGGCAGCTCTGTAGGGCTGTTCCTTTTGTAATCCATTCAATTAATTTTCTTTTTTCAGTCAGTTCTCTTACGTCCTAAGGTGAAATTAGTCAAATATGTGATTTCGATGATTTTCTTTTTTTGTACTCTATTTCCTTCTTTTTTGAACCTCTGTTTGTTTGGATTGGAGAAAAGCGAGGGAAATGGAAATGCAATAATTTATGGGCTATTTAAGCACCTTGTTTTCACTGATTCTAGTACAAATTCTTGGCATCCAATTATGCTTGTGAGATTAAGACATAATTATCTTTGTAGTCATTCATAGTTCAGGTGCTTGTAAAAGTTTCCAACGAGCTGCTTGCTTGCGTTTTCTTTTCTCATGATGGCTGTATTTTTCAAATATATTTCAGTGATTTTCTTTTTGATTTCTCTATCGTACCCAATGAAATTCAGTAAAAAAAATGTGATATTGATTATTTTCTTGAGGTGCAACTTTTTTTCCCGCCTTGGTGAACATTTTATTGAGTTTGATAATTTGGCATTCCGTTGTACATTGAGTTGAAATACTTGAAATTTCAGTGCATCGAGAAAGTTTTGGACACCTGGTTTTTATATCATTCTGATAAAGAGGCGTAATGTAAGCATCTTATAGTTTCTTCTTATTAAACTAGGGATGCCTATCTGGAATCGTGATTCTCTTGCTCAGCAAGGGTAAAAGCTCTCACATTCTGAGGTTTGATGAGGAGCTGTTCTTTATTTATCTTCTGCCACCGATAATATTTAATGCCGGGTAAGTTGTTTTTGTGCTTAATGGATATGGCGTTATTTGTTAGTGGAATTGCAGGCTCATTACTCTAATGCAGATTTCAGGTTAAGAAGAAGCAATTCTTTCATAACTTTGTGACCATAATGTTGTTCGGTGCAGTTGGTGTTTTCATCTCATTTGCTATAATCTCTGCAGGTAAACAGTTGATGCCGTAGGGATGTCTTCTCTTAACTCGCTATTGTTAAATGCATGTAAACATACACTAAATTGAGCAAGTATCCCTCTAGTTGTATTTACCTTGTCGGTTAGCTCTTGTTTCCTCATCATTAATAAGGACATGGAAGATATTTGGGCTAATTTAGTTGGGGAATGATTGAAAATTAGTTTCTCTCTCGTATCCTATCATTTGGCATTGATCTATGTCGGCTGCAACACTTTCAGGCCATTGCAACACATGGTACTATACATAATGCCTACCAAGAAAGAGTGACAGCTATGTCCAATATTTGAGGAAATAAATTTAAAACTTTGCGTGGGTAACTCTTATAGAACCGCCTATCACACCTCTTGTTAGTTTAGAAAAGATTACCCGCTCCGACATCATGTGGGGGATCCTTTATTTAGGAGAGTACTAAGAAATTTGGCTTGGGTGATCTCTTTGTTAGGCAAGCATATGATTTTAATCATACTTTTGGGATAGTTAAGGATTGATATTTCTATTGTTAATGGTATTTATAATATCATTATTTTTTTTTGATTGGTTTTCTCTAATGGAATGCTTTTCTAATTAGTATTGGTTCAGTGGAACAAATTTTACATTTGCTAATTTGAAAGTTACGAGTCATACCAAAGTTTATTTGGCCAACATTTTACCAAATGAAGAGAAATTAGGAAAATGTTTGCTTATATTTAATGGAGATAAAATAAATATTAATGTTTAAACACTACTTTAGGCACTATAATAAGCTGTTAAATGGACAATTCATAAACTTAACGTAAGACTCTTTTGAGGATACAAAATATTTGAATATCTTTGAGGACTTAGTGGTTAGAATTATAGTTTGAAAGTGCACAATTTAAGGCAATTCTTGAGGCAGATAAGGAGCATGCAAAGCACCTTAAAGCTCGTGTCTCACATTGAGCAAAAGAGGTAGATATGTGATTTTATTGAAGCATAATTTAAAGCTCATGTAATTAGATGTTTTCTCTATTTCAGGGTTTAGAGGGAGTTAGGCAATTTTTAATAGCCCAAAGCCCAAGTAAAGCTGAAAATAAGAAAAAGATCACTATATTCAATCTTTTTTAAGGAGGAATGAGAAAAAAAATAGCATAAGTCGACAAATTTGTGCAATGGAGTATTGAGGTGTTTCCATTTATGAGGCAAGGCATAAGTGTTATGTTGTGGAGCTTGAAGAACCCACAACAGCCGCATGAGCTCACAACTGCAAAAATGCCTGCTCATGGACTTGGCATAGCCACACCCGAAATGGGTGTAGCTATGTCTGATGGCGTAACCATGCCACTGAGGGACGATTGACATAGTTTGATCTCAAGTAGGTGAAATAATTACGTTCCTTAACTTCTTGAATTCTTGTGATGAAGGCGTCACTCTCACATGTGGCTCTTTCGACAAATTTCTCGTGAAGAGTGAGAGTCGAAGAGGAGGATTTCAGCATATATTTTCTCTTATGAGATTGAGAGGAAGAGTTGAAACAAAGTTCTGTAAGTTCCATTCATTGTCGGCAGGAGATCTGAGCGAGTTTTTTGTTTATTTCTAGTTCTTCGTAGTGGAAATTTCTTGGGGATGTGACTCCATGGTTTTTTTCCGTTCTCGGGTTTTTTCATGTTAAATCCTATGCTTATTTTTTTTGGAAATATATTGTTGTGCTTTAGCTCGATTTCTTTTTTTTGGATTTTTCGAATTAGTGCGAGCTTATCTGCAATGTGGTTTTGATTACTAATTGATTGAAGCCCTAGTAGAATGATATAAAGTTTCATCCCAACTAGTGGTATCATAGCTGAATGTTTTGATTCAAGTGGGAACAATGACTGAGAAAGCAAGATACAAAGTGGAGAATTTTAATGGGACGAACATCGGGAGGATATAAGTGGAAGATTTATTGTATCAAAAAAATATTATTTGCTACTACAAGGTATCACTAAGAAGCCTGTGTCAATGACTCTGGGGGAATGGGATGTGTTGGATCAATCAACCATAAGTTTCATCTGTTTATCACTTTCCATCAATCAACCATAAGTTTCATCTGTTTATCACTTTTTTCATTTGTTGTATTCAATATAGACAAGATTAACAAGCAAAGATAAGAATTTGGTCATTAATGCCTTGGTTTATTCCAATTATTTACGAGGTTTGTTTGAGTGTTATTTCACTGTTGGCTTCCTACACCTTGATTGTTATTATTTTATCATTGAAAATTAGGGTGATTCTTTTAGCCTGGGTTATATGTATTGGTGTAAGGGTTATAAGCTTGATTTTCTACAACATTCATAGTCTATAAGGCAGTAGTTCTAGGATCTCCAACTAGTCCACAAATCATCTCATTACTTAGAAGGGATCCTGACACTAAATTCATCCCGAATGTGTCTAATTTCCTAGAAATGACAATTACTTGGAAAGCTAGGATAGTCAGAATGTACGTATTGTGCACAATAGCTACGTTCTTTGGGGTCTCTATCGAAAGGTCATTGAAAGTTATTGATGGTCATTTCCTCAAGTAGTTCATAATCCTAATCAAATGATTTAAACATTAAAGACCCCTCAACTACAACATCTATGATAGGCCTTAGGGATATTACTAGCCTGTTATAAAATGTTTGGTTAATTAACTAATTCGGTTGGGCATGACAGAGACATTTTATAAGCAACTCCTTGAACTTTTTCTAAGCATTATACATCGACTGACTATCAATTGGGTGAATGATCTGATGTTAATTTTAAGTTTGACGATCATGGATGGAGTGAAGTACTTAGTCATGAATCTTTGGGCTAAGTCCATGTGGTGATTGATCCTGGTGCTAATGAGGTGAGCCACATCTTGGCTTTATCCCTAAGTGAGAAAGGGAATAGCTTAGGAGTTGCTTGGTTGGAAAGATTTACAATGTACTATAATTTTTTTACAAGGATTTAACGAAATTATGTGTTTAACATGAATTATAAATCTAATATAAAGTATAACTGAATTTGAAGTTCACGCATTAGTTCATTTTGACTGAATATAGAATTTGGTTGATTTGGCTGAATTTGAGTTACATCATAAAATATTATCAGTAAGTTGTTGCTCCCGTCCTTGCATGCTACCCGCTATACCACCACCAACATTCGCCACTATTCACGAGTGTCGCTCACCACAAACCACCTTCCTCTCACCGCCTTTAGTGTCATCGTCTGCCAGCCACTGTCGACCATCCTATACTGCCGCAGGCCATCCTCTACCACTTTTGGCCGCCATCGAACATCCTCCTCCATTGCCGGTCGCCGTCACCATCCTCCATCGCTGGCCGCCGTCGACCATCATTCACCATTATCAACCGCTGTCACCGACTGTTAGCCGTCTCCATTCGCTCCATCAGATGCTTGCTAGCTTTCCTCTGCCAACTGCTGTTGAATAAAAAAATGTATTTTGAAATATATTATTTTCAATGTACTTTAAATAAAATAAAAAGTTCTAATTTTATTTTATAGTAAACCAAACAACTCTAAAGTATTTCAAATACATTCTAATCAGAGTACTTTGCAAATTTTTTACATTGAATTCCATTTTAAAAAAAGCAAATAGCCCTTAGTCTAATGACATCGTTGGAGATGTCATTGTACTTCAATGTGACACAAAATTCTAGAAAATTAGCTAAGTGCAACTTTTGGTCTTCAGCGGGTGCTCCCCTAAACTGGTTATTTTGCACCATTTAGATTATGATAGGTCTCAATTCAAATGAGTTGGCTTCTATGACAGAGTAATTTATACTCATGTGGATTCTCTCTACCGATAAGTTGACAAACTCCCTAAATGGTTATATGTGATCTTCCTGAGAGTTTGTCATCTCTAAGTGTTTTCATCTTTGGATTCTTTGGATTTCTCTCAAAGTTCGGTCAATCTTAGAATCAAAGCGTATTAACTCAACTTCTACAATCATACACATTCACAAATGGCTGATAAACAAGTGATCCTAATCTAAGGTCAGACAACAAAAATTCAAATCACAAAACATAAGACGTGCAAAATACAAAAAAAAAACGAAAATGTGCAAGCAATAATTTATTTTGGATTTTTGGCACCTATAACAGAATTGACAATACAAAAGCACAAGTAAAACACAATAAAGTGCAAAGCAAAAAAATAAAAAAACAGGAAAGAAGTTTGAAACTTAAACTCTAAGTAATTTACATTAAAATTCTCCTAAATTTGAAAAACTAACTCCTATCTTTGATGACGCCAAAACCTTGATGATCGAAATTACTACGAAGTAAATTGGTCAATCACGTAAGTATAAATGTCAATCAAATAATATACAGATTATGTGAGGATATCCATCCCACAATCATAGTGTCAAAATACACTTCATTGGGGTAGTTCTATTTTTGTAAACCATTGAATCTAGCTTAAGGTGATCACAATGCAAGAATGGTTATCTTAACAATCTTAAAAGAATCAGTAAATAAAAATGGTAGTAAACATAAATGATACATAATAGTTTTGAGTCCTTCAGAGGTGATGGGGCTTATGCTCTTATGACACTAGTATAGTGTTTTCTCTATATTTTTGTATGAGTTACTCCTACGTGATAGCTGACAATTAGGGACAAAATCCTGCTTACCCTATGTCTAGCTCATAATAAGAGTCGAAAAGCATATTACAGTTAAGAAAGACTTAATCATGTAGCATTTTCCAAGATTCCTCCGATCCTCTATCTTGGTTCCAATTCTCTACTAACAATATGTATTTTCCATTATGTTATCATGTGTTAACCTACTTGTTCTTCTAGTCGATAGTTATAAGTCCTAGATCACAAGGAATTTTAATGACCTAACTGATCAAATTAGGGGTAAATGATGATCAAAGGAATTTTTCTCCCTAGCATGAAGAACTGAAAAATAAAGGGTGAAAGAAAACATTAAATACATAAAGAAAAAACATGGCTGTGAAGGTTATGATTTAAAACTTATCTCTGAAATATTGCATGTGCTAATAGGAAAGACTACAAGACTTAAA